TCCAGATTCAGACCGACTTCCCTGGGGACAGCCAGTGCCTCCTACTGCACAGCAGTGAGACTGGCTGCCACGCGGGCCACGTCCTAGGCTCCATGGGCTGGGTCGCTGGGGACAAGGAAGAGCCTTGGGGTGGTGCCTGCCTGAGAGTCTGCCAGGTCCTCTGGCTCCTGAGACTCATCGGTCACCACCGCTTTCTCCAGACCTGAACTGGTCCTGCAGGGCCCTGGCTGAGGCTGGGAGGGAGGTCAGCAGTGGCCGCCTGCAGGCAGCGCCCTCCTCGGCCCGGGGACCTCTGGGCCTGCCCCGGGCCGCCCTGCAGAGGGCCCCTTCCACCTCCTCCGCGGCAGCTCCCCCGTCCTTGGTTCCCATCCTCTGAGTAACAGACGGCCAGTGGCATGCAGACCAGGCACCGGGCTCCGTGCTCTCCACTCACCCCTGTGGCCACCCCACGCCGTAGGCACTACTGTTTCTACTGTGGTGCCCGGATGAGAAACGGGGCCAGGGGACTCGCTTGCCCCAAGTGGCAGTGGTCTGGCTCCAGCGGCTGCTTTTGTGCCCCTGCCTGCTGGAGACATGCTCCTGACTGCCGTCCGACCCCAGCCTGCTGCCTCCCAGCCATCACCCCTGCTCCTAGCACCCTGGGGTGGGCGGGAGCCTTGCTGATTGACAAGCAGTGGAACACCGGTGACAGACGGGCTGTGCTCAGAACAACCGATGGGCCTTTCTCCACACCGAGGGTGAGCGCCACACGTCCCAGCGGTGGAGAAGGGTGGAGGGGCCAGCGTAGCCCTGGGAGCCGAGCCCATGCATGCCCCCCGCTCTCTCGGGGCTGCCTGTGAGGGGGTTCCTGGCTGAGCCAACCTGCGACACAGCCTCCTCTACTGCAGGGTGCAAAAGGGGCCCCTAGAAGCTTCCCGGTCCAGAGGGTCAAAGGCTGGGCTCTGCACTAGCCCCTGCCTGTGGCCCGGGGCCCGCCAGCCTACAGCAGCCGCCTCCCTCTGCCGGCAGCCCGATGCCTCACCCACTGTCTGCAAGAGCTCCGTGTGGGGTCTGATACATTCCCCTGGGAGCCAGATGGGAGGAAAAAGCCCAGAGGAGGTGGAAGAGAGGCCGGCAGGGAAGGAGGAGGCTACAGAGAGGAGGAGGAGGAGGGGTTTGGTTTGGGAAAAGATGGGAGGTGGAGGAAGAGGGGAAAGCAGGTCTGATGGTGGAGGGGGTGAAGGATCTGGCGGGACACAGGCAGGCCTCTGATGGTAGAGAAAGCAGGTGTGGCACTCACAGGCCACTCGGCTACACTTTCCAATTCAGGCCCAGGTGCTGTGAGGCCAGCAGCCGCCCGGGGGAGGTTAAGGGGAGGCCACTGGGGAGACCGGGGGAGGCAGGAGACTTCCTCTGGAGGTGACCAGGGTGGAAGGGGAAGCCTGCTGTCCTGCCCGCCTCCTGACCCTTGCACGTCACTCTCGAGTCACCTGGTCACAAAGCATATGGATCAGAAGGTCCACTTCCCCCCACCCCCTGGCCACCCACTGGCGTTTTCCTCTGCGCCCTGTCGGACTCCAGCCGTGGCGCCCTGCACACCAGCCCGTGCTGGCCCGGCAGCCTGTTCCCGGAGCCACAGGTTCACGCCTGTGCAGGGGACCCCGGTCCCTGGGAGGGTGGGGCTTCCTCCTGCACAAGGACCCGAGACACCCACCTGTGTACTCAGGAAAGCAGATGGTCAAAGGGGACTTCTTGATCTTCTCGCCAAAGAGATCTTTCTTGTTGAGGAAGAGGATGATGGAGGTATCGATGAAGAACTTGTTGTTACAGATGGAGTCGAAGAGCATGAGAGACTCGTGCATGCGGTTCTGCGGCCGCAGGCGGGAGGGGGAGAGCGGGACAGACAGCGAGGAGACACAGAGACAGGGAGAGAGAAGAAGAATTAGGTTTGAGAGAGAGGAGCTGGGCTACTCGGCAGCTCAGGAGGCGCTCCCGGGGCCGTGGCTTCTCGGGAGGCGGACAGACAGAACAGTGATCTGCACACTCAGGGGCACACATCAGCACCGGGCTGCCGATGTCCAGCGCCCAGACCCATCGACGCCCCTCATCTCGGGCCAGTGGCAGACAGTGACCCGACCATGGCTCCCGGGTGAGGCTGGGGACCCGGTGACCTGGGCTCTCCCCCTTCGAGGTCCCCAGCCACAGGAGGGTCTCCCTGGATGTGCGTGTGTGTGTGCATGCGTGTGCGCATGTGTGTGTGTGCGCGCGTGTGCGCATGTGCGTGTGCTGGGAGTGGTGGCTATTGGATGGGAGCCCAGAGTTGGGCTTCGGCCCTTCCTGTCCAGACCTGCCCTCTTGAGCCCAGTCTGTGGGTGGGGTGTCCTCTGCGAGGGGTGAGGGACTCTGTGTAGGTCCCTCCTGTGACCTGGGGGAAGTCATACCTGGGGGGAGGACCTGGGGGAGATGCGTCTGCCCTGGCTGTCTGCAGGGGAGCCCGGGACCGGCCACACCTCCTTGTACACAAGTCCGTTTAGCAAATGAATGTGCGTGTTGGGCCTCCAACTAAAGCAGAACCCTCGGGGGACAGCCTCTTTTCCCGGGGCTGGGATGAGGCCGAGGCAGAGGCCAACTTATTCTGTGGTGGGATGCCAGGGGCACACTCAGGGGTGAGGGTGGCGTGGGGGGAGGGGTCTCTTGGCAGTGTGGGGGGCGAGTCTCTCTGCGAACGAACCCCTTTCTGCAGGGGAAGGTGACTTCCTGCGATGGGCCTCCCTGGTCTCCCTCTGAAGTCAGAAGACGGAGCCAAATCAGGGCGAGAGCAGAGAGCAGTGTGGGTGCCACTGGGCTTTATTCTCCGAGATGGGGGGGCGGGGGGGGGCGGGGAGGAGGAGGCAACAGTAGGAGCTGAGGAAGCTGCCTATTCTGTTGCCGTGGCGACTTCCCCTATCTGAGCAGGAGGAGGGGAAGGTGGGGACACGTCCTCCACAGTCACTACGCCCCACCTGCCGGCCAGCTCTGCACCCAGCACTTCGCCCGCCTCGTGCCAGTTCATCTCATCAACCCTTAGAGGGCACGGGAGTGACACAGGTGGCCGGCTCCAGAGCTGGGCCATGTAACAGGCCTCTCCGGTCACTGGGAGTGGTCAGTGGCCTTCAGAGGAGGAAACAATGAGGGTCATGACGGCCCAGGACCGCCTATCACACCCGTGACCTCGTTCTGTGGCCGATGCTGGAGGGGGCGGGCAGCCTGTGTCCTCTGTTGCTTCTCGGGAGTCACTGGGCAAGGTCACCCCTCCCTCGGGGACCTGCCGTCACGGCCACTGTCCCTTTACTCTAAGCAGATCGGGCAAACCCATGTGATCTGACCACCCTCCTAGCCTCAGCCAGCCACCTTCATTCTTGGTCCCCCCACAACCCTGTTCAGGGAAGAGCGAGACTCATTGGCCCCGGGCCACCTCAGAGCCTGTCCGTCAAGGGGCAGGTGGAGGTCTCCCCGCAGGCCAAGGGCAGGGCCTGGGGCTGTGCACGCTCGGCTCACTGGGCTCCGAGGAGGGCAGAGCAGAGATGCTCCGACACCCACGGACGCTACAGGAAAAGCCCCCCCGCCGCCCCCCCCAGAGCCACCTGTCCACAGCCACTCAACCCAGCGCCCAGCGGCACCGCACACGTCCCAGCATCGCTTTGTCTACAGACACGGGGGGTCACAGTGGGGACATATGCCCGGGGCGCTCCCAGGACCAGAGGGACCACCGGGGTGAGGAGCTGAGAGTGGGGAGTGCATCCATTTGGCTGGGCTGAAGGTCTCTTCCTCGGGAGGCCCCCGAGCTTAGGCCAAGCTCTCGGCTAAGGATCCGACCGGCACAGCCGCGCCCGCCCCCCCCCCCCCCCCCCCCGGCCCCCAATACAGGCGGGATGTGTGCGAGGCCCTCTGCAGGCGGCGGGGGCTGTAGGAACGGCCACACAGGCTCCTGCTCTCCCAGAGCTCACAGTCTAGGTGGGGAGAGGCAGCGTGCACACATGTCAAACGTCTGCAGGGCCTGCAGCGAGTGGCATTGGGCCCGGAGGAGCCGGGAGGCAGAGGACACGGCGCACAGTCAGACCGGATTCTCCGGGAGGGAGGGCTCGGGAGTGTCCGGAAAGAAGAGCTGATCCTGGAGATTGGGGGGCGGGGGGGCGCAGCTGGAACGGCACTGAGAGGGATGCCATCCCTCCCCACGCAGACTGGAGCCCATCACCAAGGAGCCAAGAGCACAGCTTGTCCTCACTGGCTTCCGGGAGGAAACAGATGCCGGAATACAGGGCCAAGGGGAGGCGGTACCATTTGAGAAAAGAGAGAGAAGCCAGAGGTCACAGCCAGACGACAGCCATCACCCCCACTTGCAGCCGCCTGCCTGTCTGCCCCCAGCCCTGTGCCTGCTGGGCTTCAGGGCCTGAGGGCAGCAGGAGAGCTGGGCCCCACCCCCAGAGCGGCGCGGGGCGGGCACCACGCACGCAGGGACGGGAAGGCGGGCTCTGCACGGGAAAGACCAGCCTCGCCCTCAGACAACCCGAGTGGTGGGCAGGGCGGCCAGTCACAGGAACCCTTCGGACCCCAGCAGGCGTGCCCCCTGCACCAGGCGGCCCCCAGGACCAACCTGGGCTGGGCACGGGACGCGTGTCGTGTGGGTGCGCCAGGCGGAGGCTTGGGCACGGACACAGCACACCACACTCACGCTAGAAAGAGCTGGCACTTTTATTAACGGAGGTGACTAATACACACGTGACGGCAGCCAATAAATTATGACAACCACTAGAGATTTATTAAACCCACAAGTCACTCTAGTTACAAAATTACAGTTAACTTGGGGTGGGCGGAGGTGGCGGGATGGGGAGGTGGGACAGCTGGCACCTAAGGTAGAGGTTTGGGAAGGGGGGGGAGGGGGCAGGGGCGGGAGCAGCAGTGGGGGAGGCCTGGGGGGCAGTGGGGGCTGGGGCAGAACCACGAGGGGCAGAAAGCCCAGGAGGGAAGGGCCTGGCCGGTGGGGAGGCAGTGGGGATTGGGGGTGGGGTGGGAGAAGGGGCTACAGGAGCAGAGGTGTGTGGAGCTGCTGAGCAAGGGGTGTCCTCGCCCTGGTGGTCTCAGTGCATGGGGTGGGGGGTGAAACCTTTCCTTCCAGAGGGACCCTCTGACCAAGAGGGCCATGGATCTAGGACTTGGGGGTGGGTGGGGGGAAGGAGGGTGCTTCCTGCTTCTGCTGACAAGGGCCTTCATCTGCTGGGGTGGGACCTGCCTGGAGCCCCAGGACCCCCCGGAGGGAGGGCCCCCCGAAGGGAAGGCCCCCCCGGCCGCACTGGGGGTCGGGGAGCCTGACCACCATCCCACAGCGGCACCCAGAGCGGTGCTCTCTGCTCAGGGCGGGGGCAGAGCCCACCCATCCTCAGACCACAGTCCACAGGCTCCGCAGGGCCACCTGCCCCTCCGCCAGGCCAGACAGCCTCAGGGACCTCGCAGTTCTCTGTACAGGACTAAGCACAGGACCACCCACAGCACGTCACTCACAACATCTCCCCCTCCCCCGGCGACGGAGCCAACACTCAGGTCACCTCCAGCTGTTACGGGCCGTCGGTGACAACCCGGCGACGCGGAGGACAGCGAGGGGATTTCGCCCCGGACACCCTCCCCTCCAGGACTTGCCCTGCACAGACAAGGACACCCTGGTCAGGCCCGGAGGGTCAGAGCACGCAAGCCATGGAGCAGCACATCCGGGAGGGAAAGGCAGCCTGGGATGAAGGCCATGAATGAAGGCCCAGGCGACCAGCTCCTCCTGATGCTGCCGCCGGGGAGGGCGGGGACGGGAGGGCTCTGACCGCTGTGCTGCGAGGGGGCGGCCGGGAGGGGAGCCCTGGGCCTGGAGAGCCGGTGACTTCCACCTCTGGGACGATGGTGGGGCTCGGCCAGCATCCCCCTTTTTGTCGATTGCTTTTGAGTCTGGGGTCCCAGGGCAGAGGTAGGGGCACAGCTGGCCGCACCCAGGGTGACGATGTCGGGAAATAACTATGTGTCTTTCATGTTGGGCAAAATGGCTTCACTGGCCTGGTAGCCTGTGACGGGACATTGAGTCTTTGGCTCCAGGGGCCTGTCCTCTGCCCGGCCCCGGCGGCTGTGCAGGAGCAGCACGAGGGGAAGGACACCCGGTGGACTTGGGTGGGAGGTGGCTCCTGCAGGCCGGCTGCCCTGGGATTTCCCAGAAAACTGGGCGACAGCGAGAGAGCCGAGCCAGGGATGGGCTCAGCCAGGGCCCCCGTTCCTGCAGGCACTTGGCACGAGGGACGGCGCTGTGCATCTGCCAGGCACCACCCAGAACCGGGGGCCTGCCCAGAGCTGCTGGCAGTCAGGGGGCAACCCTGGGGGTCCCGGGGTGGCTGGAAGGGCAGAGGCTCGAGGAGGGAGCCGGAACCCTCTCAAGGCGCTCTTCCCATGGGCACACAGGGGCTGCCTGGGCTGCGGGCCGCTGGCATCAGCCAACTGAAGTGCCGATTCCGGAGGCCAGCCCAGGCCTGGGTCGCCGGAGGTTCCCCACCCATGCCTACCGAAGCCCCTCCAGAGGTCCGGGGACTCTCTTGGGGGAGGAGATAGATGGGAGAGCCAGCCTGGGCCCCTGCCAGTGCACACTGCAGGGTGGCGGTCCCGACACCTGCCCTCCTCTGCCCCAGGGGCTGGCGGGACACCAAGAGGGAGGGAAGCTGGGGACTGGCCTCAGGGGCTGGGTCCACCCCCTCCCGTCTCCACCCTGCACAGCCTCCACCCAGCCCCTGCCGGCTTGAGTCGAATTCGCTGTAACTTCAGAAGGAAAAGCACAGCTACGAACACCCGGAGCAGCCGCCTGAGACGCGGGGACGGGGAAGGCGATGGGTCACCCGGGCCTGCAAGGACGGGCGTGAGGCCCCATCGCCGTCGACACGCGCTACCTCCCCTCGGCATCCCCACCGCCCACCTCTTCCCTGGCCGCTGTCCAGGCACCGCGGGACTCCAGCCCTCCCACCGTCCACCACATGCCTTTGCAGTCAGTCAGTCTCAGAACCAGAACCTTTTCCAGACCCACGAGGAGTCCCGGATGAGGGCTCCCCAAGGGTGTGCATGGAAGGAGGGCCCGGAGAAGGAAGGGCTTGCACCCCAGGGCTGAGATCCAAGGGGGGCGGGGGGAGGAGGAGGCGCTCACCCAGGCCTGAGCCCTCGGACCCACGCACAGCAGGCCCGGTCCCGGCCTGGCTTTTGATGACGGAGCTGCCCGGACTAGAAAGACCCCAGGAAAAGATGAGCGATGGTTCCCACTGCCCCTCCCCTTCCAGCGCCCCGCCCCACAGCTGCCCCTGCCACCTGCACAACCCTGGCACTTCCAGTCTGAGTCACCATGTGCAGGGGTTGCCCAACCGGGGCCCCGACGGCGGCCCTGGCTCCCTCCTGAGGAAAAAGCACTTGGCAAGGGAGCTGCAGGCAGGCAGGCAGGGGTGGCCCGCCCCAGGCATGTCGCGGGTACTCGGACCCTGCCCAGCCCGTGTCACCATGTGCTCTGATGTCCGGGCGGCCGTGGGTGGTCCCTCCCCCTTCGGTGCCAGCCGCCGGGCTTGCTGGTGCAGAGTCTGAGAGGCCTGAGCTCTGGTTCCCGGGGGTGGGGGGCACGGGCCGGGTGGGGTGGCGGGCGGGAGGCCAGGCCGGGGCTCAGTAGAGGCCACAGCCCCGCAGGTTTTTGGCGATGATGACGTCCGTCACGGCGTCAAAGACAAACTGGATGTTGTTGGTGTCGGTGGCGCAGGTGATGTGGGTGTAGATCTCCTTGTGGGCTGACTTGTTCTTGCTCTCGTACTGGGCCTGGATGTAGGCCACGGCTTCCGTGAAGGCGCTGGGGCCTGCGGGAGAAGGCGGGAGGAAGGGGACGGGTGAGGCGAGCCCACTACCGGGGCCTCCCGGTGACAACCGAAGCAGAAACCCGACGCGGGGAGGGAAACGCAACCGCTCAGCTGCAGACCCTGCAGGCGGGTCCTCTCTTGTCCGTGACCCCCCAGCGCAGGCCCTGGTGGGTAGAAACTGTGGTGCCGGTGAGCCACCTTGGTCTCCTTCTCCTCACCCTCGCCTCTCTCAGGCTCACCATCCGGCCCCCGACTTGCTACCTCCCTCGGGGTGTGCACATCGCTCTGCTCCTGGGGGAGCCCAGGCAGAGGGTTTCCAGGAGAGCAGGCCTCCTCAGTGCCAAGCCAGCCTTGGTGCCCGACCCACCCCGCCTGCTCCCGCTGCCTCCCAGGCCACAGCGGAGGTCAGCCAGGGCAGGATCCCCGCACCCCCAACTTATAGCTAAGAGGGGCTGGCTGGGGGTGTGGGGCTGCTGAGTCCCACCCACTTCTGGCTGCAGGGGGGTGCCTTTGGTTTTGTGTTGGCTTCTCTGTGGTTGAGTCCGGCGCACCCTCAGGGCGCACACGGGGAGGCTGAGTTCCGGATGGGGGCCTGCTCCCCCGGGCGCCCAGTGGCCAGGCTCCTGCGTCCCTACCTGTGTATTCGGGGAAGCAAATGGTCAGCGGGGACTTCTTGATCTTCTCCTCGAACAGGTCCTTCTTGTTGAGAAACAGGATGATGGACGTGTCCGTGAACCACTTGTTGTTGCAGATACTGTCGAAGAGCTTCAGGGACTCATGCATGCGGTTCTGCAACAGAGCGGAGAGGCGGGTGAGCGCCGGTGCGCGGGCCGACCCACCGCGGCCACCACACAGCGGGACAAGCCGAGGAAATGCCCGCCGACGTGGCGGGACGCACCACCGAGGGACGGAGACAGGAGGACCCACAAGGACAAGCGGGTGCGGTCCCCGCCTCATTCTACACGCAGGCAGGTTGGAGTGGAGCCGGGCGAGCGGGGAGGGGAACGCTGCCCCAGCCCTCTTCCCCCAGAGGGCCGACCCGGCTGGGGCAGCGAGGTCTCCAGCTCATGGAGAGGACATGCACCATGCACTCGGGGCAGGGCCACACCACTATCCAACACGTCTACACGGAACTGTGGGCCATGCAGATCCCTCTACCGGGGCCTCATTCCGATTGGCCAGCGGGGGTGGGGGGGCACGCATTCAGTTGGGGCACATTAACCGAGGACGAAGAGGTCCTCGAATTAATCCAGAGTTGGAAGCAGACACAAGGGGACAGACAGCGCCTGGGGGGTGATCTTGCTGTGGCCTTGGTGTGGGTGGAGACTGGGTTGGGTGGCTGGGCCATGGCTGGGTCATGGCTGGGCAGGAGGCTCGGCTCTGGGTGAGCTGCTTAACCCAGCAAAACAGAAGAAAACAGAGAGGAAGATAAAAGCCCAGCAGAAAACATGAGAGAAAGAGAGGGGGGAAAAAACCCTGAAAAATTGGTTCAACCAGTAACAGGGCCGGGAAGTCAACGCAGGTCCAGCCCGGGGCCCCTGTGCAGGCTCAGAGGCCATGGCCACCGAGGGACCGCGGACTGCGTGGCTGGAGGTGGACGCGAGGGGGGGAGGACCAGCCTGAGCCCAGCGGCTGGAGAGGGTGAGAGGCGAGAGTGGGCGGGGCAGGCATCACAGCAAAGTCACCCGCGGTGCCCCGGGGACCTGCTGCTTTCAACTCTTAGCTGGTGGTTGCACTGGAGGGAGGTGCTTCATACCTGCCCGGCTTGGAGGGTCTCTCAGAATCTGCTCATGATTTGGCCTTGGTTTGGCAAATTAGGGCCCTGTAGGTGGTGGTGCCGGCGGTGGTGGTGACGTTGTGGCAGGCTGAGGCCCAGTGCCCCCGAGGCCACTGGGGTACGAGGGCAGGATGAGACCCCGGGCTCCCGGGTGCGGTGGACGCGGTGGCTGGGCGGTGGGCAGTGGGCGGTGGGCGGCAGCCACCAGCTCCAGGAGCCACCTCCGGGCACCTGTCCCGGGCAGTCCAGACTCTCGCCTCAGGCCAGGGAGGGACCGGTGGGGCTGGTCAGGGCAGAGTCCGTAGCCCACAACTTGTCCTTCAGCCACACTCCCGGACAGAGGAGCACGATCGTTGTTATGCGCTGCGTGGAGTCCCGAGTGCAGGCTGCTCTTCACAGCCGCGCCAGGCTGAGTGCCCACCGTCACCCTTTGAAGGAGCAGGGCGTCGGGCGGCTGCCTCATGACACAGTGGCAGGGCCAGCGCTGGACCCTGGGCCATGTCTGTCCGGTTCCCAGCCACCCAGTGTAGCCACGCATCCTGGACACACGGTCGTCAGCTTAGTTCTGTAGCAACGGCGTTGCTCTCGCTGCTGTGGGCGATGAGCCGCCTTCGTGGGCTGCTGTCCAGTTCTAAAGCCCATTCCTGCCCCAGAGGGGGCGCTGCTCTTTCCTGGGCGGTCCAGCTGCCTGCTTTGGGGAGGAAGGGCCCCAGGAGGAGCCTGTCCCCAGCCTGGGCCCACCTGCCTCGGCTTCCCCAAGGTCCTCCGCTCCAGCCCCGGTGAAGAAGGCAGGGCACACGGGGAGGAGGGGAGGTGAGTGAGAGGGACAGGAAAGGCAGGAAGGAGGAGGAGCATGGAAGGAAAGCACCCAGGACACTGCCCAGCTCAGCAGCAAGGGCTGGTGAGGAGTTTGCAGACGGCTGGCCAGGCTGGACAGGGCAGGCAGACGGGAAAGGCTGCCCGAGCTTGGGGCCTGGCATCTGCCCAGCCCCTTGGTTCACGGGGACCGGAGGGCCATGGAGCTTCTGCCCCGTGGCTGCCAGACCCACCCAGACATCCCTCTGCGCCTGCCCTGCTGCAGAGGTGCAGGAGAGCCCTGCCCGTGACCTGCGGCCTGGCACTTGGGTTGGAGCTGTCCATAGGCCTGGCCGGCAGGTCCTAGGGGAGAGGCCCGTTCAGGGAGAAAAGCCGTCCCCCCAGCCACTCTCCAGCCCTTCACTTTCTTGGAAACACACGGCCCTGCTTCCCACTCCCGGTGCCACAGGGAGAGGTGAGCCGAGTGGATGGAGCTCAGACCACAGGGGTGGCCACTCAGACCGTGAACGGCGGCTTGGAAAGCACAGCGGACCAAGGGGACAGTGACACAGGGGCCGGGGCAGCCCTGTGCGCACAGGCATCGAGAGGGCAGCCAGGAGCCATCCTGGGCTGTGGTGCGGCCAGAGAGTCGGGTCCAAGCACAACATGGGGTGCACGTCTCTCCCCCGCCCACCCCCCACGCCGGAGATGCCACAACCTGCCGCGGTCACTCATGAAGACGGCGCCACCAGAAAGAGCTGCACGGCTGAGGCCCCAGACGCCTCCCCCAGGACAAGGCAGGGCTGGGGGGCTTTGCTGAACCCCAACTCAGGGGTGCAGCTGGGCCTGAAGGAGGAAGGGCACAGTGGACACGCCAGCCTGTGGTGCGAGTCCGGGCCACCCACCTGGGCAGCGGCTTCGGCCCCCATCTGCCAAAAGCCCCATGGTGTGTCGGTCCCTCAGGACGGCGGCTGCTTCTCCCAATAGCACTGCACCCCGCAGCCCCCACCCCGCGGCCCGTCAGACCTTCACTGCAGCCGGGGGACCAGCAGGCAGGACTGATGAGGAAACTGACCCAGAGAGGATAGGCCCCCCGCATGACGCAGGCCTCCCTCCAACCTCAGTGCTGCCCGAGAGGCTCGGGGCTTAGGGCCTGTGTGTGCTGCAGACAGGAGCTGACCAATGCCAAGGGCGTGACCCCACAGCCCAGGAGCCCCACTCCTAGGAGGTGCTGTGGGCTTGTCTCGGCGCCCTCGGGGTGGGCCACACCAGCACCCGGCTTCCCTGGCAGGCTGTGCGAGCAGGCCCCCCGCCCTGTGGACTGGAGAACAGACGGGGACTCTCAGTGGACCCCCAGGTCAGGACAACCACCAACTCGGCGCGGCCGTGCCGTGAACCTTCACCTGGACGCTCTAGTCCATCGCCAGTGACCCCACAGGTAGGTACTACTCCCCCCCCCCCCCGCCCCCCGCTTTGGCAGGTAACAGTAACCGAGGTGGAGAGGGTGCTGCCTGCATTCGGCAGCAAACCAGGACTAGGACCAGAGCGACTGAGCGACCCCCGCTGAGGCCAGATGGCCACCCTGAGGCCCCAGATGGGACACGACGCACATTAGAGGCAGGAACCTGGGCTGGTCTCCTCCAGAGGTGCCCGCCGCCCACCCCGCAGGCCTCTCCGGGGAGCAGCCCAGCCAACCTCAGGGACAGCTGTCAGGCCTAAGAACCGCTGTTTCCGTCTCACGCACATTCTTGCCGGACCCCCCCCCCCCCCCCCCCGATTCTTCTAGGACTGGCTTGCTCTGGGCCTGGCCTGCTGCCCTCAGACTCTGCCCTATTTACTGGAGAGGCACTTACTGCCTGAGACCCAGAGTCGGGGGGCGGGGGAGGACACCCACGGCCCCCGCCCAAGCTGCCGGCCTGTGGCTGCCTTTTCTGTACCGGCGTCACCAGACATTCCCCCAACCACGGGAACCTCAGCCGCTATGGAGCTGCGTGGACCACCACCGTGGTCTCGCCTCAGCGGCCACGCCTGGTGGGCATGGGCCACTCATTATGGTCTTGCCCCATTGCGCTCACACCTGGCGGGCACAGGCCACTCACCGTGGTCTCGTCTTCGTGGAGCACCTGGTCATAGCCGCTGAGCGCGACACAGAAGATGATGGCCGTGACGTCCTCGAAGCAGTGGATCCACTTCTTGCGTTCAGACCGTTGGCCCCCGACGTCAAACAGCCTGCGGGGAGACAGGGAAGCTGGGGTGGTGGGCGGTGGGGCCCAGGCAGGTGGGAGGGGGTGCCCGGTCAAGCTCTGGGGCCGGAGGAGGAGGAGGGGCTGGCACCTGCCCCCGAGCAGCCCCAGGAGCCCCGCTCCTGGTGCTCAAAGACCGACACAGCCGTTCAGGGGGTGGGGCGGCCTTCACTGCGGTCTGTCCCACCCCCGGGCTGTGCTTGCACTCAGGGAGTCCAACACCTGCCCTCCTAAGGGTGCGCCTCACCTGGCCAGGACACAGGCTTCTACCTGTGTCTCACCTGCTCCACCCGACACCCAGGAATCAGACCTATAGGCATGTGGGGCAGGACAGGGGCTCCCAGGCCTCAGTGTGTGAGGTCACCCCAGGTGGCAATGCCACCTCCCGCCAGTGTCTGAGAAGTCCAGCCGCACACCTCGGGCTCCCGTGCCGAGGCGCTCAGAGCCGCTGTGTTCTGCTCTTGGGGAGAGCCTTGCTCCTCCCAGGCCTCAGTTTCCCCAGATGTGCTGGGAGGTGGGTCAGCGGATCCCTAAGCCCCTTCCAGCTGAGATTACGTGGGTCCTTGGGGGTCTCACGGCTATTGTTTGGGCTTACCCATGGCTCACCCCCACCCCTCCCCACAAGGTGTCCTGGGAGGTGACCCACCTTCTCCCCCCCTGCCAGAGGTCACCAGGGACGGGCTTCCCTCCCCGTGCCTCAGAGCCCCACTCTAGGACCCCTCTTCCGGGAAGTCCTCCTGCTGACCCCGCCCTGAACTTGGTGGGAAACAGACCTACAGACAGGTCCCTTCTCCTAGCTACCTGCCTGTCCCCACGCGAGAGCTCCAGAGGCAGGCCGCTATCTGGGGCTGAGGCTGAGGGGTTGGCACTGCCCATGGCCCGGCGCCCTGGTTGGGGCTCGCAAGTCCCCCGGGCCCCACCTGAAGTGAAGGTTCTTGAATGTGAAGTGGGTTTCTACGATGCCGGTGGTTTTGACCCTGGTTCGGAGGATGTCTTGCTCGGTGGGCTGGTAGTCGCTGGCCCCGATCCGATCCAGGCTGTCCAGGTAGCTGGGGACGGCAACACACAGGGGACCGTGGGGCAGGCTGTAGGCACAGCTCGGGGCTTGCTGGGCCACCCTCTTTAGAACCCGGTCCCCCCCAGGGCCCCTCGAAGGCCACGGAGGGGATGATGGCACCACCTTGTCCAGGGCCAGGGGTGGGGGTGGGAGGGTGGCCGCACATCCTCGAAGAGCCTCTAATTCAGACCACGAGGGCCTCTGTGCACGGCTCCAGGGACGCTCAGACGAGACCAGACTCTCCAATGAGGCTAACGGGCTTATGATGCTGCTCTGTCGTTGCTTCGTGACAAAACAATAATGGCCAACACCTGGCCTCTGTTCTTCACGTGTGACCAAGTGGCATCTTTAATTTCCAAGCTAAATGTACTCTTCTACAGATTACAGAGCTGAGGGTCAATGAAGGTCAGCACCTTGCCCGGCCGGGAGCTGGGCCTTGAACCTGGACATCTGGCCCCAGAGTCCACACTCGAGTCTCTGTAGTGTTTCCAAGAGGCCCCGAGCATCTGCCCGCCCTGCTATACCTGCTGCGAGTTTACCCAGGGGTCCGTGGAAAGGGAGGGTCTAGGTCACAGAGGGGGCAGTGGCTGGCCTGCCTGGGACCAGGTCTTCCGCATCATGCCCCCCACTTCTGGAGACGGACCAGGCCTTTGCACCCCACCCGCCCAGGCCGAGCACCTGGAAGGCTTTGGGGTCTGTAGGGGTTAGGTTTGAACCCAAAGCCAGGATGGGATCTGGGAAATCAGGATTGGGCTCCCCCAGGGCCAGCCAGGCATCCACTCCTGGTGCCTGGGGGCAGGAGCCGCACACAGCCCACGGGGGGAGGATCCCCAAGTGTCTGGGGCGGGGATGACGTGGGTTCTGGGGGCACGTGGAGGGGCTGAGCTTCAGCGGCACTGGCCCTGGGCCCTGCTGGCTGTCCCAGTGGCTCTGGCCTCAGCCCCACCCAAGCCCTACCCTCCACGCGGTCCCTGTCCCACCAGCGGCCGCCCTCCTGCCCGGGTCACTCACTATTTGGCAGAGTCGTTGAGCTGATACTCCCGAGAGCGGTTGAAGCACTCCTGGATCCCCGAGTCGCCCCAGAGGCGCACCATGGCGGACAGCAGCTCCGGAGAGAAGGGCTCGGTGTCCTCCATCCGACTCACCACGTCGCACACCATCTTGGCGTCAGCCTGCGAGGAGACGGGTGGGGCTGTGAGGCTCGGTGGGGACAGGAAGTCTGGCCGGGCACCTGCCAGGGCACCGGGACAATGCTCAGCCCCAGGCCTGAGCAGGAGAAGCGGGCCACTATCTGAACACCTTCCCCTCCCCCCACCCCCTGCCTCTGGATATGGGCACAGTCTGCTTTCCTAGGCCCTCGGGGACCAGTGTCGCCATGCCAGCCTTCGGGGACTCCCAGAGCTGGCACAGCTCTGGGGCTTCTGTGGGCAGGAGGGAGTGGGCAGGGCTCTATTCTACACCTTCCAATACCTCCAAGCAGTCCTGCTTTCATTCATTTTGAAGACTGGCATTTTGCAAAGTTTTTTTTGGGGGGGAAATGTCAATGTTTTTGGCTAACAATTTTCTACTTTTTGGGAAAAAAATATTTTTATTGATTTCAGAGAGGAAGGGAGAGGGAGGGATAGAAATAACAATGATGAGAGAGAATCATTGATCAGCTGCCTCCTGCACGCCCCACACTGGGGATCCAGCCTACAATCCGGGCATGTGCCTTGACCGGGAATCGAACTGTGACCGCACTCACAGGTGGTCAGTGCAGAGCTGGGACTCAGACCAGGAGCCTGACTCCAAGGCTGGCCTCTGTGATCAGACCCACAGATGCTGGGGGTCGCCACCGACTACAGCACCTCGGACGGCAAACGATGCCAGGTGGAGGAGTCCACACCCAGGGTGACACGCATTACCAGAAAGATCCATGCTCCCCAGAGCCTCCGGAAATGACCTTTCAAATAAACGCCTTGTCTGGGGGCCGGCTTCTCGAGGAACCCAAAGCCGGACAAGGTGGCCACCTGAGCCCAGGCCCTGTCCACCGAGTCTGCACACATTTCTCTGGGTGACGGGACCACGCTCAGAGCACTCTCCGGACCCCAAAGCAGGGAGCCTGCTGCCTGCCTCGTGGCTGGAGGGCATGGTGAGACAGAGCCCCCGGAGGTGGCTGGGAGTGGGGTGCGCTAGGCCCTAACCTCATGGGCCCCCCAGAATCCTGGTCTAATTCATGGGCACAACAGTTACTACTAGACTCTCAAGGCCTTTCAACCCCCTGCCTTCCGACGGCGCCAGAGGAGAGCCAGACTCCCCAGCCTGTGGCCCGTGGCTCAGGAAGGGAGTGGGAGGGGCTGGCAATTCTCACGTGTCCTCTGGGGAGGGAGAGACACAGAGGAAACGAGGTCAGCACCTGGGAGATGTGTGGCCCACAAAAGATTCTGTGCAAAAGGCATGTGGACTCAAGTCTTCTGGGGAGACTTCCAGAATCAAAAGCTCTGTCCATGCCTTCTGTCTGCTGCCGAAGGTCAGTGAGGAAGTCCTGGCAGCTGGGTCCCCTCTGTACACTTGCCCTGGGAAGGAAGCTGCTGATGGCCTGGAGGCCGGCAGGCCAGGCCCACAATGCTAGCCCAGAGCCAGGCCCCCAGCTCCCAGCCCCCCGATCCCTGGGCCACCCTCTGCTGGCCTCCTGGCCTCCCAGGTTTCCAGGTTGGAGATGAGTTTCTTCAGCATCTGAGCATCCCTGGGGCATCCACCTGGACAGCCTGCCCGTGGGGCCTGGGCCCTGGGTGCCCTAGGCAGGCAGAGGCTCGGGGAGGCGGGGGTGACGGGGCGGGGGTGCCTCCGCCTAGGGCTAAAACCAGTGCTGGGGCCTATGAGTTAGGGGCCCACATGCTGCTGCTGCTCCCAGGCGGCCGGGTGACTTGGGGAAGTCTCAGTCCTCTCCCGGCTCTCAGAGTGCCTGCCCGTCTGTGGAATGTGGAACGCAGCCGGTGGACCCGGCCAGACCTTCCCACACTTCCTCCTTCGGGCCTGCCGCCAAGGTTTCTGCCCGGTCTGTGAGAAGGGACTCAGGGCCTAAGGGTGGGCAGGGCAGGCGACTTCCTGCTGGGTGAGGGACACAATCCAATCTGAGCACCCAGAGCCTCATGACACCTCGCAGGGAGGCTACAGGGAGGGTGTGCTCTATAATCGCCTCCACCCTTGGACTCACCCCTGTGTTTGTCCCTCCGTGTGTGACCTGCCCGCCCTTCCCAGAGACGTGGTCACACCGGGAAGTGGATGGGGCAAGTGGTGACCAGGGGATGCTGGCATCAGCCCAGCTGAGCCACTAGCCATGAGGGCCACACGCTTGCCATTCACTGCCCGGGACTCGGAGGTGTCCAGGTGTACGCATCATCTAGACTGGGATGCCTAACGTCACCTCTAACACTCAGGTCTTCAACCACTTCCCTTCTTTTCAGGGCAACACGGACTTTTCAATAAACATCAGCAGCAAAGGGCGAACGTTTAATAAAGGGCCTTTGCCCTCCCGAGAGATGAGATGTCAAAAACGTGGGGAAGTGAATGGGAATGTTCACGCAGGTGACCCGGGTTCAAATCCCGGCTCTGCTGCCTTTTAGCTGCGCGACCTTGGACAGGCCACTTGACCTCTCTGGGCCCCTGCTCTCGTTCGTTCCCACCTCCCCGGGTTGTCTGTGCCGTGGAGACAGGCGAAGGATGGGACACAGCTTTGCAGCACAAAGAGCCCTGCAAATGTTAGTTATTATGAGCAAAGATGAAGTCCCTCAGACACAAACAACAGGCTGAAGGAAATGGGCCTGCTTTGTACAGGACGTCAGGCAAGCATGATCCTCTTGATAACAATAATCACAGTAATTATAATAATAACCCCTTCCATTGGAGGAGCTGCGATGGGCCTTTCAGAGTTTTCCGTCCATCTCTAATCTTTTAGGCCAAGAGAACGTACACACACACACACAGACACACACAGGCCTCTGGTTGCAGGAAAAGCCTCCATCCACCCGCCCCGCCCTGTGTGCTGCAGTTGTCGTGGCTCCCACCAGGGGGCAGGAGCGCACAGGCCAAGGGGAGAGGGAGCCAGAGCTGGACAAGCAAAGCACCAGCGACCAGGCAGGGCAGGGCCCGTGGGCATAGCTGCCTTCCTTGGCCTACAGACTGTTCCTCAAGGGGAAGCGGCAGAGAGACCCGGCAGGCACGGCGATTCCAGCAGGTGGAGAATGGCAGTGGTGGGAGCATTCTGGGCATTTAGCAACTGCCAGACCCATGCCCCCCAGGCCGCGACATCTGTCCTTGTTAGTGGCAATGATTGGGGCACTGCAGGCATTTAATGCTTGGAGACCAGGCTCTTTCTTCCCTTGGGCTCAGGGGTCTTAGTTGCAGCAAGCTGTCAGATCGCAGCGTCTATGGGGCGAGGGGAGCTGGGGACCTCCTAGATCAGCGGTTCTCAACCTGTGGGTCGCCAACCTGTGGGTCGCGACCCCTTTGGGGGTCGAACGACCCTTTCCCGGGGGTCGCCTAAGACCACCGGAAAACACATATATCATTACATACTGTTTTTGTGATTAATCACTATGCTTTCATTATGTTCAATTTGTCACAGTGGAAATACATCCTGCCTATCAGATATTTACATGACGATTCAGCACAGTAGCAACATTACAGTGATGAAGTAGCCACGAAAATAATTTTATGGTTGGGGGTCACCACAACATGAGGAACTGTATGAAAGGGGCGCGGCATTAGGAAGGTTGAGAACCACTGTCCTAGATCTGCCACTTGCCTTAGGGGAGGGAGCCTTCCTGGTCCCCCGGAAAGACCCTGCAGCAGAACCAAGGATTTGGTGCTCTTTCCCATCTTGTCTCCTTTCAAACCTGCCCGTCCTTCTCCATCCATCCATCCATCCATCCATCCACATAGCCCGGTAACACCTAGCTAGGATGCATCTCTTTTGAACATCATGCATCTACCCACGTAGCCATCGGCTACCCTTGTTCAGCCATCCACTCACTTCCACACCCGCCCATCTCCTTACCTTCCTTCTGTCCTTCCCCAGCATCTGCCTATCCATTCATTATTCATGTGTGCACCACTTCTTTCCTTCCTCCCATCTCTAGCCACCCACCTATCCATCCACCAATGTACTCATTTATCCACTGCATACCGCCTACTGAGGAGGGGGGTCTTGACCTTCAGAACATTCATAGTGGTTGAGAAACGATGGCCCCCAATTGCCTGGGCGATGAGGGGGAGCCGGGGGCTCTGGCTTGCTTAGGAGATTTGTTGTCATGGTGACTCCTGGTCTCCTAGCTGCCACCTCCTCTGGAAAGGGAGCTGGAAGGTGAGCGCTCAGCCCCAAGGCCAGCAGGGCAGAAGGGAGGAAGGAGAGAGGGAGGGACCCCCCACACCCCCTGGCTGTCCACCTGTCCCAGCAGTCCAGTGGCTAAGTGGACATTTTGTCCTCCAGGGAGGCGGGCAGGACAACTGTTCCTGGGAACCCCGAAACCCAATCCCCCTGCCTTTTGAGCTGAAAGGGACTGGAGCTGCCTCCTCCCAATTCTGGGAGGAAGGGAGCAGCCGCCTCCCAAGAGGCCCTGTTTCTATAGGGGCAGACCGGGTGGGGGGGTGCCTGGGACAGCCCAGGTCAGAGCTCTGCCCCGTGAGTGCCCCCAGGAGGGCCCAGGCTGGACAAAAGCTCACTTTCCAAGGACAAGGCCACTGCCTCAATTAGCTGTCCTCCCAGGAGCAGCTTCACTGATCCCCTAAAAGGCACAGCAGGTTCTGAGGCTGCGCCCCCTGTGGCCCCCAGGCCTTTGCTCCAGCCCAACCCCATTGTGCCCAAGGCCACCGAGTCCCCCTCCCTACTCCCGTGCTGCTCCTGCAACTCCCTCTGCCCGGCCAGCAGCAGGCAGTGCCTTTGAAGTCGGGTCTTCTGTTCCAACTGCAAACTTTCCAACTGCTCAGAACCAAAATTAGAGAGGCCGCACACTCAGCTCACAATGTAAAATGCCACCCAGGCCTCCCCCTCCCCCAGGGCCATCCTAATGAGCCGGAGCCAGGCTTTATGTTTTCTGAATCGCAAGGTGATCTCTCTAGGACCTTTCCCTCCTTGCAGTTATTTGTACCCTCAGCAGAAGGTGGAGGGGACGACTTGAGGCGAATGTGGGGG